GGAATTACGGGGCAACTTTGAAGGAGCCGATTTTATGGCCTGAGCATGCATGTTGGGAGGCTAATAACTTTCCGAATATTACAGATATGAAGCTGGAGTTTGTTTTATTGGACAGATCTCTAAAAATATGATTTGTAGAAAGGAGGTCGTAGAATAACAAATTTCCAATAAAAGTGCCTAAGACAGCTGAACTTGAAGACAACTTGGGAAATCTGTCAATAGGGGCGAGTTTGCGCCCTTATATCTCTGCAAGTTGTAGGGTTGGGGTAATCTCATGTGGTCATTGATATATACTTTTGATAGCTCTATTTTTCTAGAGGTAGCTCGTGCCCATAGCTTCAGCGTAGGAGGCGCTATATAAAAGCGATTATGCATATTTTGAACTTTATCTCCTTGGAGTAGGCATGACAGGCTGGGATGGCCATGTTTCAGTTTGTATTCGAGGAAAACACCATATATAATTCGGAGAAAATCCAAGGGCTCCGTCTGTGGGAGCCCATCTATAAAACTCCCCGTACTTGTTTTTTTTTAGTTCAGAGTCTCGCAATTTCTCACTTTTCTTCCCCCTCATTTTTCCTATCTCTTTATTTCTGCAGCGCGTGTGATAGCTACCCGCGGCCATCTGGACCTCGTTAGGGGGCTGAAACCGGCTAAAAAGGGGTAAATAAGCTCAGAAAAACGCGATTTTTCCTTATTTTCTCATTTTTCCTTAATTTTTCTTATTTCCTTCAATTTCAATCGTGATGTGGGGGTATAAAGTGGACGAAGCGTGTTTGGAGGAGTTTCAGCCGTGTAAAAGCCTGAAAGTGAGGTTATTATAGTCTTTCGAATTTTTCGCGTAGTTTTTCGCTCATCTTACCAATTTTCGGGATTTCGCAACCTATAAAATATCGATTTTATCGAATTTGTCAATTTTTGGGATATCGATTTTTGTCGATTTTCGGGATTTCGCAGCCCTCATATTACCGATTCTATCAATTTCTGAGGATTTGGTGGTTCACTAACCTCCAAATATCGACTTCTCGCTTTTAGATGTGAACTGTGCCCCCCAAATTATGATGTTACTATACAATACCGCCCACAGAATGTGCAAAATTTCCGTGAATGTCGCGAAATTCCGAAAATTCCGCGAAATCCCGGGAATGTCACAAAGTTTCGCGAAATTCCGGGAATTTCGCGGAATTTCGCAGAATTTTCGGAATTTCGCGACATTCAGGGAAATTTTGCACATTCTGTAAGCGGTATTGTAGCTCTAGAAGACTTCAGATTGTCTGGTGACCGTCTAAAGACGGACTAATTTTGCAAGTAATTTTTCTATGTATACAGCTCAGTTTTAGTGTCAAATGATTTGTGTTTGCTGTGAACAGCAATTTGTTTATTTTAGCCTTGCTTTCAAATCGCGCGCACTTTTCGCCATACACGATAGAGCATGTCAATCGTGTGATAACCTGTCCGAAAGCTTGTGTCGACTAAATGGCGCTTATCCTTGGTGCTCGGCCCCGACTCATCAAGGACGATACCTCCCTTGCTTTTTGCTTCAAAAACGAAGTCCATCCTGCTTCCAGACGATCTGTGCCGGGCCCTGCCCTTCCTCCTCGCCATTACTCGGAACGCCAGTGATACGTACATCGCATATGTTACTTGAAGCACTGACGTTATAAATTTGCTAAAATTTGCACATGCTTGTTCCTAACATCAACGCTTGTGATCGGTTTTAAGCCTTTTAAATATTTTTACTGTTTTGGCGTCTCCAGTTTGTTTTTCCCACGGTTTTGTATAAAACTAATAAAGTAGACCAATTATCTTCATTAGCAAAGGCTTGCAAGAGGTTTTAAACAACTCGTGTACTGGTTCGCACTCACATACGAGATGCCACCCTAGATATACATACAAGAGTGCCAAATCAAGTAAAGACAATTTTCGCACCACTGCCACGAAGAAACCACTGAGAAATATGAGCTCAGATAAATGTCGCAGAATGCAATCGAACCCTACAGCGAACACCTTCCAAAACTTTAGAACATCTCTATTCAATATGTAAGGATGAAAAAACCAGACTGTCTTCAAAACAATAGATAAAATTTTTACTTCCATATTTTGCTCTGCAACTGAATGAACTCAACCCCTTCTCGAAACATTCCGAATTACTGTAAACTACATTTTATACTATGATCCAGTTCTAGTAACTGTAAGGATTTGTTCACCTACGATACGAAAAATACTTGCGTACGCGCAACGATCTTATGTCTACCATCAATTGTGAGACCCTTATGCATAACTTTCTAAACGAAAAAAAAACACTTCTCCAAAAAAGACAGAAGAGTACCATCATGACGTTTGAAAATGGAGTTGAAATTGATTTAGAAGGCGCTCTTTGATTCCCAGGCGCGTCAGGGGGCCAAAATATTAGGTTGTCCCAAAAGTAAACTTCTTTTTTGAATAATTCGAGCTGTTTTTGTTTTTCCACTAAACTTAGGGTATCATTCGCTAGAGCAAATAAAGCTATAGATGATCACCGAAAATCCGCCTAAGCCGCATTCTATGGGAAGTTCAAAGCCAGAATCGAAAAAAATTTTGTCCCTGAAAATTGGACATTCGCGAGAAAGAATCCTATGAACCTCCAACCTGGTCATTCTACAGTAGACACATAGTAGTAGTCAGATATGCTTTCACCGGATTTTTTGTAAGCATAGAAAGCGAGGAAGAAAAACTATTTAAAAATGGCAAACTCCGTCCCCGGCCTCTCCCACATATGTCATTGTATACTATAAGCCTTACTAAGTATAAGTTTGGAACTTTACCTCTGTATGTGCTCTTAAATTCGATACCAAGTTTTACAGTTGAAACCCGAAAGAAGTGGCATTTTGGCATTTCGGAATCATCTTTGTTTCTCAATTTTGAGACCAAAAAAATCACCAAATACGTTTTTGGGTACTACTGTGTGTCTACCATATAAAGACCAAGCTGGAAATCGTGCGAGTTTTCTGTAGATCCGATTTTCTAGTGTAGCTGAATTTTGATTTTTGGCTCCAAATTTTACCTAGATTATGACTTAGGGGAATCTCTGGTGTTTTTGTAGAGCTTGCTTCGTTCTATCAAATGGTACCCTAAAGCTGTTAGGAACACAAAAACAGCTCAATTTATTTGAAAATGGAGTTTACTTTTGGGACAACTCAATAGTTAACTATACTGCACCGCGAGCATTTTTTCTGGAGAATAAAATTCCTCTTCTAACCAAGTTTTAAATTTCCAAACTTAACAGTGTTAGAGGCGAAGGCTTGCTCTGCTTTTATGCACGAGCAAAAGAAAACCCTTCCACAAACCTTGAACTTGTAAAGTTGTGCCTGTGTACAGTGTAAACTTCACCTGATGGAAGTATTTGAAACTTTTTTAAAGCATAAAGCTGCCAAATTCTGATTTGGCCAACTTACGACAGTAAGCGTTGGCAAGAACAAATGCATGCTTTATCCGCCATTAGAGGCAGCGTCCCGGCAAGAAGATGGGTGCCGGGTTTTTGTGGCGATGTTGAAGTAGACCCCCTACCCGAGTGATGAATGAGGTTTGGAGCAAAGAAGAGGGTCCACCAAGCCTAAAATTCGCTCCGAAAATGGCCCGGATCTTACGGTAGGCCCGGACGGTCCACACAGCGATTTCGAAACTGCAAGGCCAGAGCACGCATAGCGCACACAGTCACAAGCGCAGGGTGCCGCAACGACTCTGCCTCTCTACCTTGCATGCATCTCGTACTCGCCCGAGCCCACCGTAAAGCCCTGGCCATACCGTCAAAAAAATCACCACCGCGATGCGATTTGTGCAATCGGACATCTGCCATACCCCCCTATTTTATGCCGGCAAGTTATGCATATCGGTCGTGCTAGCTGTCCGGCGCGACGAATCGCTGACCGTGTTTTCCTAGGCCATACCTATTTGAGCGATATCGCCGCGATTTGGCCGAAATCTTGCGATATCGCGTCGCAAGTTTGAAACCAGCGACGGGGCGATATCGCTGGAAGGATTTCTTTCCTGAAAGCTTTTGAAATAGCTTTTTTTCTTTTCCGACTTCTTTCTGCGGTGATGTTAAAATGTGATGCAGATTTCCTCTTGCACTTCGTAATTGCACTCCTGTCGTGTTGTGATGCGCGTCCCTTCTAATTCATGCCATCAGTCAATATAAATATTTTTAATTGTTCGAAACTCATAACTGAATAACATGCGTAGTATTTAGGTATCTGAACTTCGCGAAGAATCAGCAACTCATGAAACCGCAGCTACAACTTGAGAAAATTGCTTTTTGCATTCTGTATCCAACAAGAAAAGTGTACGAAAATGTAAATGCGCGAACTAATGTAAATGCGTGAAATGTTGATGCTGGATATTGGTGTCGAAAAAGAGACAAAGAAATCTGCAAATGTAAAAGTCAGGCTGAAAACTGTTTTTGGATAGCAAAAGAAAACGTAGAACGGGTACTGGGGTGTGTATTTTCACCTTATCGCTGAACAGGTATAGGTATGTCCGGAACCCGCGACCAGCAATTTGATAGTCGCGATTTCGTCGCTACATGCACGAAATTCTTCGGCGATGAAATCGCGACGATGAAATCGCTGCACGTATGGCCAGGGCTTAAGATCCGGGCCACTTTCGGGGCAAATTTCAGGCTTGGTAGACCCCTTTTTTCGCTCCGAACTCCCGTCATCGCTTAGGGTAGAGAGTCTACTTTAATATCGCACAACAACCCGGCACCCATCTTTTTGCCGGGACGGTGCCTTTAAGCGCACCCAGGTCGTCCCCGCCGTTCGCGGGACCTCGGATTCTCGTGTCTCCTCTTATCTCATGCATTCTCTCTGCTCTATTGAACTCTCACTTCCTTTCGGACTGCCTTTAGTGAACATAACAGCGTCGCATTCTGTGGAATAGCCTATAGGTAACACGAAAAAAGATTCTTAGCGAAAGTAGACAGCCTTATACATTCATCACCCAAGAAGCAACCCAAAAAGCAATCTTGATGATGGTTATATAATTCATATGTATATACATGGAAAGTTCTCAGTCCTTTCGTTCTACGGGTACCTAAAAAGTAATTATAAAAATAAGTGATGATTTCTCATAAAGAGAATCTACCTCAAACATTGTTTTATTCAACTCGTCTCCGCTGTCATTGTCGGAACCAGATGGGACACCGTTAGCTAACCTAGCCTGCTTTATTGCTTTCCACTTAACCAATGCTTTTGCAAATGTTTGTTTGATGCCAGGAGTAGAAATGGCTGCTGTCGACAGCATCTCGCTGAATAAAAATTTTCAAAACAGCAAACCAAAGGCAATCTAATGTCGGATGCTCAAGAATCACCGCAAAACTTGATTTTCTTGCAAAAGCTGGGACAATTTCTGTACATCAGCAGAAGTGGAATCTTCACAACCTTTCATGAAATTGGATAGATCACCGACAAGTTTTCTACAAAAAGAAATTATGTGAAAACGAGACATATGAAATTGAAAAAAATGACTGAAAACCTAAAACGCTCTTTGTCCTCAGCCGTGTCGTCCATTTTTTCCGGGAATAATTTTGTAACATCTTTGAACGACGGTTGCTTGTTGAGCCTGCAAAGAATTGCAGGTGGGTGTCTACGGATAATAGTCGTTTGGGAACTTCACGGCAACAATTTCGCCACTTCTGTGCACTTTGAGATAAGGAGGTCTCATTGAAGAATAAAGGCACTAGCTTGGGAGAATTGCAACTGCGGGTTCTCCATGTCTCCTTGACCTTCTGGAGGTAGTTGTGCTTAAAATCTCGTCGTCAAAAAAGTGCTTTGATGAACTTTTCGGGCTTAGAGATGGCTAAGGGGGCTGGACGAGCGAATCCCGCAAACTCAGGCGCGACGGGCTGCCTAAACCAGCCTGCCACTTGCCGCCAATAGGGTGGAATGACTCTACCCATACAGTCTCCTGCCTTTTGGTGTGAATCTCCCTATCAGCCCCTACAGCATATCCAAGGAAAACACGACAAGAAGCACAATTCTAACCCTTTCGAAAGATTTCAAGCACAGTATTGAACTCTGCGCATTCAGACGAGGAGGGAGAGAAAGTCGCATTCGCAATTTTCCCAAGCCACTACCTTTGAAAAAAGGACAAGTTCGAGACTTAATTCTTCCGGTGGTTACTCAGTTCGCAAACACGATGCGCGATAGGCGCTTTGCAGGTGAGAAAATTGTTGTAGAACATGAAAAAGAAAGAACAAAACTGATGATTATACCTGTTCAGCCTTGCCATGACATTGCGATGTCTAGTCATAACTGTCCTCAAAGTCTCCATGGATTCGTTGATGGCTTCGCGAAGGTTTCGATTTTCCTCCTGTCAAAGGAAATTCCCATTTTGATCAGAATCAAAAGACTTTACCTACATGATACGCAAGAATTTGCCTATTCTCTCTTTGCAATTCTTCCAGAAGGACTGCTCTTCGAGACCCGTTAACGGTGAATGTGTTGATATTACTTATGATGTTTTGGTATTCTTTCATGCAAGCCATCTTTTCATTAACAGCATTCACGCGTCGTATCATTTCATCAACACGCCTTTCACCTGAAAAACAGTCATGACGCATTTCACAAAACATTCTTCTGTGCTGGGAGAAAGCAGGAACTCACCGCTTCCGATCTGAAACATCAGCTCCCGAGTATCTCTCACGATGCATTCCACTTCAGCGTTCGCCATAGCTGCTGTTTAGAAATGAGCTACACTAAAAAGGTGAGCTATATTACACCATAATGCGCTATGCAGCGAAGCGAGCAAGCACTCGAAAGCGATACTTCAAACATCTTCAACCAGGCCATTTCTTCGATTTATGCCTTTCGGACAAAAGATTTATTGGTGCTACTTTCTGGTTATCTTGTCTCTATCACCGATGAATAGTATGGTTCGAAAGTTATACACGATTCATAACACTCAAGGACTACGTGACGTTGCGTCTAGTCAAGATAGTTCATGCTTGGGAGAGGCAGCAGATGGTAAGGGAAACGAAAGAGCGCTCAAGCGCTCAGAGACCCAGGTACGTCCGCGGTCTTTGCATGCTATGAATCGCCTATTGATCTCTAGCCAGTAATATGTGTTGCCAAAATCTCGTGGCCCACCGGCGGATCGTATGGTCCGAAACGGCAATACACGTACGACCCACCGATGGTCTTTTGTGTTGAAGTATGATCGTCTCCACGATTCGTGTAGAGGTGTATTGCAGACTTTGCCTGATAAGACAGGTAAACTTGCTAAACCTCCACGTCATAGCATTGTTTTTTGTACGCTCTCGCTATCAAAAACCGCCACGCTTTGAGTGGCAAAACCCCGCCTCTACACGAATCGTGGAGCCGATGATACATTCATACGCTGGAAATCACTGAATAGCAATCAAAAAGAATAGTTGTAAATACTTATTCCCATGTAGAATGGCATAACCAAAAAGAGTTTGTGTATGATATTCTGTATTATCTTTGCAAGGATGAATCATGGTCACAACAGACACATGATAACGCTATACATCTTTCTGATATAAACTGCTTAGATAGCATATAACAACATTAGTATCAAGATAGTAATATCCAGACGACCTACTCAACAAAAGACTATGTAACAACAGTAACAACAACGATCACTCTCCAACTAAGTAAACAACAAATGAGAAATGATGAGTTCTTCATTTTTTCTTCTTTTTGCCACTTTCCCACAGTTCCTTATTCCATTCACCTTGCTGTGACTGAAGTCCACTCATCAACCGTTTCGTCTTTTCTCTCCTATCGCGATCTTTGGCAGCCACTTCCCTTCTTTGCTTTCTGAAATTTCGGGCCATTTTGATGCACTTTACATAAGCTAAAGACTGCAATCAGAATGTCTCACCTGTTTAAGAACGAAGCATCTTTGCGAAGTTCTTTAATAGCACCACGAGTCTCCTTCTTGATCAAATGCTGAAGTTTCTCCTTCTCAGCACGTGCTCCTTTGCGCTTCATATCACGACCTATGCGCGGTCTTTCGGGGTCGAAATCTTCTTCAAACCGCGGTTCCAACATTTTCAGCATGCTGCAAACGTTTACACTAACTCGAGTGCGAGAAGTTAGTATATCCAGGATACCTCTTCTCAGTGACTACACGACTCATCTGAGTGAGTTTTGAATGTGCTTTGCATTCAGCTTCCATAGAACGCAAGAGAGCATCGATCTCCTCTGCTAACGTGGAGGGTAGACGAGCAGATGGAATTCGCTTCAAAAGTTCGACGAAGGGCCTAAATCAATCGCATAACAAATCTGCCTCATAGTTGAGGTCTTACTGGAATGTTGCTGTGAAGGTATGCTCATGAGCAGCATAGAGGAGACGATATTTTTGCACTACGGCGATAAGAGAACGCAGAATCCGGCAGCGCATTTCGTCTGAGTCTTCAAGGATACTGCAAGAAAGTGCTATTATTCTATTCTCTAGAATCGATAACAATATTCAAGACACGTAAGCGACGAACATCCGTTTTGAATTTATCTACAATGCACATTTGTAAAGAACTCCAAAAAACGGAGTTTTAGGCTAACGCTTTAGAAGATTTTGCATACTCGACAAGCATTGCACTATTTTCGATATCCAGAAAAAAATATGGGATTCCCAAAAAGACGATAAGGACAACTAATCATAAACTGTTGAGATTCAGTAGTAAACTTGTGCATAAGATAATATTGGATATGACTACCGACCTATCTTCACTAAAAACATCTGAAAGATGCAAAGGCTCGATCGTGGAATCTTTTGGTAGATCCTATAAACGTCGAAAATTAACGATGGAGTGCTTGAGTGAAAGCCTAACCTTGGTGATGTACAGCATTTGTCTATGAGGTAACGATATGGGAAAAGCCGTTGACGGAGCCCTCTCGCTGTCGGAGTTCTCAACTGCCATTAGTAAAGCTCCCTGACAGAACGCAATAGCCTCAGGAACGAACCTAAAACGAGAATATTTCAAAAACAAGAATCAAGGTAGGAACGATATAAGATGAGCGAATTAAAACTGATAAAAAGGAAATTTTGCTGGAATTTTTCAGCACTCACGCATGGGATAAAGACGGATGGAAGGTACAGAAAACACTCACCGCCTGCTCTCTTCCACAAAATCAGCAACAACTGTCACAAGAAGAATTTGTCGTACAAGAATGCCCATATTTTCTATGTGACATTTTGCAAGCGATACAGCAGCTAGAGCCATAGCTGGGGAACAAACTGGATGCCATCTATCAGACACAGGAAAAAGTGATGCTATCAACCTAAAGCACGTTAGAAAAGGCAAGTATCTAGATTAAAAAAAACGAAAGAAAAGAAAAAACATGTGAACCTACCGCAAGAGAGCGATAACTGAAAAAGAGACCGGCGATTTAGGTTTGTTTATCCGTAACTTCCAGTCCTGACGTATCAAAGCACGAACACATCTGACGCTGAATTCAACGTCAAACTAAAAGCACTGATTGATATAAAATGATATAGAGCAATTCAAACTCACCTTCAACAAAGAGTATAATATTTTTGTGAGTGTTCCAAGCGTTTTCAAGGTCTCTTCATCGATCGGCAACCTTGAGCAATCATCGAAGAAGCGGAGAAGGTAGAGGAACAATTTAGAAAGTAACTTTTTGTTGCCTTCAGCTAGACTAGGATGGTGACACTTGATCAACCTAAAGTGGTTGATTAAGAAAACTATGAGATTCGCAAAAAAATATGCAAAAGTGTTCATATTGAAAGCTCAAACTGACCGTTCTAAAACAATTTCCATTTTGTTGGTAGGATATTTTTCCAAGAGGTTCCTTAGTGCCTCATAAGTGCCCGGCATTTGAAAAAGAAAAGGAATCTGCAGATCTTCATCAGCTAAATTTATAATTGGAGAATTGATAATTTGAACGCAGTTAGTAGTTACCTGCCAATGGAAGCCGCTTTTCTCTTGCTTGTTCGTCCCCTGAACTGTCGTGATTCGCTTCCACAACCTCATCCTCTTCATCCTCGTCTGCACTACTTTCCTCACCAGTGTGATCACCTCCCTCTTCTTCATCGTCAGCCTCTTCATCGGAATTTTCTTCCTTGTCTTCATTCCCTCCTGCAGACTCAGCGTGCTCATCTGTATAGATTACGTTAGACTTTTTCACTCTTACATCTCAAACTTGGCTTTGAGAAACAATAGCATGTAATTGTCAACAAACAATTAACCTCCTTGCTCAGCAATCAAACCATCAAGCTCTTCCTCATTCTCGTCTTCGAGCTCCTCATCAGTAACTTCATCGTCAGAGTCGATCAAAATCCTTTTCTTGGTCACACGTTCTACCTTGAAAAAATCAGGACATGGTACGCAGGAGAAAGAGATGCTTACCTTTTCCTTGTTCAAAAGACTGCCAGAAGAATCAAAGCGGACTTCAAAACCCTCTTTTTTGCTTTTCTTTTTGGGAGCATTCGAAACGTCAGCATCGATGGAGATATGACCACGCTTATTTTTCTAAACCACGCCAAATTCAAAAAAGACATGATGACTCAATGTGCTTACTTCTGCATTCATTCTTGCAATTCTAAGTGATTCCATTTCTTCCAGATGGTGCTTCTCTTCAGCTGCAAGCTCTTCTGCTGTTTTCGTGCGCTCAGCAGGGGTAGCGCGTGCATCAGCATCAATTTTGAGACTTATAGCCTGAAAGCACCTTGATGGACCAGATTTGAAAGGAAGGAAAGAAACATGGTGTGAATTTTAAGACGTGATAACAGACCAATTGATCGTAGTCGTCTTTCTGCGGTTTCTCAGACCTTGTAGCTCCAACGGGACGGAAGGTATTCTTTACTTTGTCCAAGATTTTCAAATACTTGGCATCTAGTTCTTCTGTAGCAGTCTCCTAAAGTGGTGTAAAGGTATACTGTACTACCAGTAAAATAACCCTACCATATCATCCTTTGCGTTCTGCTTATTCTCTCTAGCTTGCCGAGTCTTGGCAATAAGCTCAGCAATGATATCTTTTCGACTGGGCTTCTCGTCACCATTTCTCGTTGAATCAAGATCGCCTCCACCAAAGTGAGCAACTTTGACCTTATTAGGATAAAATTATACAAGAGTTAGAAAAATCTATTGCAAAAGCTTACCACATCAGCACTGATGTTGCCAGCATCGTCTTCATCGTCGGATGCAATGATCTTGTCATACTTTTGTACACTCGTCAGCTCTTTTCCGCCATGTGTAAGTACTTCTGGAAAGGATGAGCTAGAAAAGTGCCACGAACATGGATTTATCTTGTGCTTGACAAAACTTTCTACCTTCGCCTATACCCAATATCTATTGTAATTTTAGCACATTATCATAACCACTCTAAATGGATGCATACCCAATTGGTCAAGAACCTTCAACATAGCACTTCTTCGTTTCTATCCGCTGTCTACCCAAGAAGATGCGAGCGAACACTCCCAAGCACCTTGGTGGTAGATTTGTATTTCAACTATCCCCATAATCACGAGAAGACTCGATCTTTATTATTTTGCGATATGATATCAAGTCAATGATGTACACTATCTCATTTTTGGTTAATTACCATAATATAATTAACGGTAATGCTCAAGCTTGGCAGCGGCATGAGTGCAAAGCGCTCTCGAATCTCCAATTCGCAAAATGCTAGAATGCTACATACTAAAAGGTTTTCAATGGTGAAGCGTAAGTTCGCAACGGAGCAGATGTGGTCGCAACATCAGAAAACATACCGGAATGATCGTCGTTGTCGTCAGTAAGGTTGAATTTGCTACCTTTCTTCAGGTGTTTGACGCGTTCCGCGGTAAATCTAAACACATACATATAAATGAGAGTATTCCTCAAAAAAGAAGATTTATACCTCAATGAAGCCTTTTCTTCGTTTGTTATCTCACGATTCTTTTCGCCTATCCGTTTATCGATGATCTGATATTGGAAGTCTGTTGATATAATCCAGAGACTTATTACTGAGTCCACCATACCTTATTGACGTTTCCCACACGATCGTACTCCACACCAATAGTTTTAGCTCGTTGTTCGTACGCGCGTTTACGAGACAGTCCTGGGTGCCCCACTCCGAGCGTTCCTTTCTTCTTTCCAAGCACCTTAGCAAATGATGATGATGATACCAACACCCTCAGATTCAAAAAGTAAGTAAATGCAACCAGCGAAAATTCAAGAAGACTCACATCGTGCTTCAAGCGATTGAACTTCAGCTCAAAAGGATTGACTTTAGCGGTGGACTTGGTCTTCTTCTTTGTCATTGTTTTCTGCTTCTTTTTTCCAACCATTTCACCTTCAAATGGAATTTCAAATTTAGAAATGACCAACTTTTTCAAAAAGAACAGTTGAATGTGCAAAGATTTGGAATTAGGCGTAAACGATTCCGTGTGGTTGCGATTACACAAGCTGCTCACATTTACCGCGCAAGTTTGAGATGTTATTTCTTTTTCTTTCTTCTCGTAAACTCTCTGATTGCAACTGTATTATAGATCCCAACTGGTCATCGACTTGGAACAGTAGTCAAAACCAGGCGTAGAGGGATTGCGCAGCTGCTGTGACTGCACAAACTTCGCTAAAAATGTCTCGCTGAGGTTGTCCTTCGGAAAGGATGGAAATCAAGTGGTGCGCACTTGCATATGCTGAAACTGGGAATTCAAAAAAGTACTCAAAGTTGAAGTTCAGTAATCATAATGAACCAGTCACGATCAAAATTGGAATTTCTATGTTTTCGAGGTCCTCCATTTCATTTCAACATAGTCTGTTTTGTGTAAAAGGCCAGGACACAATTACGAACAAACTTTAAACATCAGAATTTAGCGGTTTGAACTGGAGACGCCTGTTCTCAAACTTACATCAGTGGGATAAAACTAGAAACTTGCCTGTACTTGAACACGGTACATGTACTCGATTACATGTTTTCGCTCTTCCGCGTTGCAAGGTTATGACCTCATAAAGGTTTCCTTCGAGCAGAATGCCGCAGGCGCATTAAGGTTCTAACCTACATTTTATGTAGTCATGACTAGTTGACTATCACTGATTCGGAGACGCCTCATGATTATCCATATTTATTATCAAGAATGACTTGACTACAGTTCTCTTGGCTACAAGCTATATACCTGTTGGCGCGATCTTGTCAGTCACATATCCATAAATGATTAGTGATGTCGTATAAAATGCCTATGTGTATTGGCATGAACTCGTTATCTAACCATTCACTTTGAACATTTTGCTGAACTTAAACTTAGATTTTGAAAAATTGTTTGAAAAAAGTGCTTTTTGTGTTTTGTTTTGCGAACAATCATAGCTATGCAGAAGAACAACATCGAAAACATAGGAATTCCAATTTTGATCTTGACTGGTTCATTATGATTACTGAACTTCAACTTTGAGTACTTTTTTGAATTCCCAGTTTCAGCATATGCAAGTGCGCACCACTTGATTTCCATCCTTTCTGAAGGACAACCTCAGCGAGACATTTTTAGCGAAGTTTGTGCAGTCACAGCAGCTGCGCAATCCCTCTACGCCTGGTTTTCACTACTGTTCCAAGTCGATGACCAGTTGGGATCTATAATACAGTCTGATTGCAGGGTGCTGCGAGGAGTTTATCTTTAAATGTTTGCTGCATTGTAACTGATTCTACTCCCATCAAACCCCTACAAAGTTGATAAGCGCTGTTCCACATTAGTTCCCCAGAAAGAAAACTACGAATTTCAAACTTCGTCTAAGGCCCCGGGCAGACTTCACGCGATTTGATCGTCGCGACGAGACAACTGTTAGAACATCATTCCATGCCGATCAACTTGCACTCGGTTGTGATACTTTTCCAGACCGAAATTTTTGAATGTGAAATGAAAATTGGAAATCTTGGCTATTAGATCGCGACGATTAAGTCGCGTGAAGTCTGACCGGGGCCTAAAGGGGTTTTTTGCACGTCGATTACGAATATCACACTTATTTTACAATTGATGTTATTCATTGTGAGACTAGGACTCTAGTACGCTTCGCACATTTGTCTAAACAAGCTTGATCATGTTGACAAGTTTACACCTGATTCTTTCGGTCAAGGCTCCCATTGCGCTACTCCGACTCTGCGTTCCGTTTGAAGACATGGAGCCTCGGTAAAACTGGGGGAACACGCGGAAGGCGACAAATGCCCTGGAACGGGCGCGATTAGTGGCCACGCCCTGTCCGAGTTCTCCGCCAATCAGCCATTCAAATCTTTGTACTGGAGCGCGACTGCACGCTTTCTACATGTTTCGTTTCTTGTGCGATCACGTTTTTGTCTCTGTTCGTATCTATCATTTACTAGTTGTATATCTATCATTTACTAGTTGTATATCTTTCACGTTTATGTAAACATCTTTGCTCACAGGAGTAATGTTTGATGCAGGAGTCCTCATAGAAGACGTACATACACATGAGCGACTTAAAAGGACTTGTCCACTGATTCATTAGGGGTACGATTTTTCCTTGTGCCCTGTGCTTTTCTACTTTTGCATTTAACAATTTGCTTATTTAGTCAATATCACTTTATGGATGTTCTCGCCTTACTCATAGTTAGCATTTTTTGTCATCATCAAATTGTTTGTGCGACTTATTCATTTCATTTTAGTTCAGATATACGCAGAAAGTCCTTGCTTTCAACTTCGTGAGCCATAGCTATGGACTTACGAAAGGTAAGCGCTCTCACTCACTCCTTTTCTGCTTTAACATCGCAAACCGTTTTCTGTCATTGAAGGGTGGATGTCCATAAGTGCATTCGAACAGAGACGAGCTCAAGAGCCATTGATGTGAGCATTCTGTAATTGTGCTACTTACGCTCGAGTTATCAATGCTAGATGTTGCTTTTTCTCACTTTTGTGCATTTATATGGTTTTTTAATATCGTTATCTAAGGGTCGTAGATTCTTTTCTTTTCTCAAAGAGATGGTAAGTTAACGTGACCTCACTCACTTGTAAGCAGTATTTCTAAATACATAATGGTCCCTTGTAGATACTATTGTCGATAATGACTATGTGGAACAAATAGAATTACAGAAAAACTTTGGAAACTCAGTACAGAAATTTTTTGTTTTTGTTGTAAAGTTGTATTCTACATCAAAATTCGGCTTTCCTTGTGATTCATTTTTTTTTCAGAGTGGACCTACAGGTAAAATGTACCATATCATTTATCATTGTATCATTTCCTTTTTGTCCTATACTCTGGTGCAACTTCTGTTGTGAATAAAGTGTTCTTTTTTGCACTGTCAAGCAAAACAGCAGAAAAACTATGAAAACTTGAAGCATTGACAAAGACCATAGGTCGCGAAGCTTTATCGAGTTTGCGGTTCGCCTAGATACAAACTAATGTTGACATTTCGCCAGAAAATGAGGTTTTTCTTACTTTGAGCTTTGAAAGGAACTGCTTTGCAACATTCATTGTGTTCAATTCAATTCTATCCGAATGATAGCCACATAACCGCATAGTACACTGATGCAACTCGGTTATTCTCACTTAATCTGGAAGTTAATCGAAATATGGTTTGTGAGTAGCATGTGACCGAAATCGAATTTCGCTGCGAAATCTCACCCTGCAATCAATTAGCTATCATTAAACAATCTGCAGTTATACACTGAAATGCGTAACCTTCCCTTCGTACACTGAGTGATCACTCCTACCAATTTGCACACGAACTCTCATGGACAAAACAGAGTAGTCGAGGAGGACATCGCCACCATTCACGCGCCAGCCTATGCGCCACAAGAGCGTCAATCTGTCTAATTGACTCGAGGCCAGCACTAAACGCAGGCAAGTTGGAGGCGTGGCCACCGTTTCCTCGCCTCTACTGGGTTTTGTCGCCTTCCGCACCACACCCGTAAAACTGCGCTCCTATGCCGCGCATGAGGAACGGTAGCTACAGTCTGTAGGTAGGCGTCAGACTAAGCGACTATTTTGTTCAGCTGCAAAAGGCGCACAGAAATAGTGTCTGCTGCATAATGTCTGCTACTGCTAAGGCCTGCTTCAGCCGCAGGTCCCGCGCAGAATTAACGTTAAGGTACTCAGACAAATCTGCGCGCAGGCGGCGCGCACTGAATCCGCGAGCGACGTACCTTCCCGCCGCCTGGGTGTGCCGTGCGCGCCGCCTATGGATTGAAGGTCCGCCGCCTGCGCGCTACGAGAAAAATTTCGGCAGGAATCTGTTCGGATTTTTGTTGTCGGTCTGAATATCTTATGCTTGTTGGACAATGTGGTTTCACTACTATTTTATTAACGAATAATATCTACAATTTTCGAATTTGACAGGTTTTTAACACAAATTGCAACAAAAATACAGTATTTACAGGATAAGCTGTCTTTGACAGCTGGCATTCAATACTATTTAGCTTACTTAGTACTTACAAATTCACAGATATTTCAAAGTCAACATCAACAACGCATTTACATTCAGATGTGATATCCAAGACGTGTGCATGACGTAATGAATACAGTAAATTTGGTAGTAACAAATGCAACAGTATGATGACATAGCTTGAAATAACCGCCAATAAAACCACTAAATACTTTGATAAATAACCTGGACAGGTATACACAGATATAAATACATAATATATGTACAGTTTTGTCGGAATAGAATATGAAAATGCGATAGCAATGAAAAAAACGTGGGCATGCTTGATTAGCCAGAATTAAATGCTCATAGACTTCATATACCCAATTCAACCACATGAATTAAACAATTGAATGGTGACATGAGGGTATAAGAATAAGAATTGGGATGGATGAACATGAATAATCCGGATCAGCCTCGTCCTCGTTAGTTCGCGTAATGGTCTTTGTTCTATCAAGGGTTGATTCCATCAATCGGTCCTAGACACTTGCTGTGGCGCTGAAATACAGGCTATTGACAAACTGAAAAGAAAAAGCAACGAAAATTTCGACGAATACAGAAAAAATGCAATTTTTCACCTCTTCAAGATATTTAGTCAGGGCTGAGGTCCACGACCATAAATTGTTTCGATTCTTGGTGGGGTCATTGAGTAAGCGTAGCGCCGCGGAAACGTGCTGACATACCGGTAGAAACACTGATCCGAACTTATATGATTTATCTGTTATAGCGATAACGATATACGAGTATCATTAATGAGCAAGATCAATGGTAAATGAGCAATATCGGGATATGAACAATAGGCACAATGAATAAGGAGATCATATAGTAGAGATCAGCATGAGCACTGGTGGTACGGCGGCGGCCCAAAGAGGTTACGAGGAGAGGTGATACAAACGTCCACTCGGCGACCGGGCATCGGAGCAACTCCTCGAGAGCATCGCTTGACCGTCGTCGTCACGCCCCTAAACATATGAGTCATCGTCCGACGAAGAAGCATGCGTAGACATGCTTACACCTCCCCCTTTTACCAACAAGTCCGTCCTCGGACTTAATTTTAGGGATTGACAAGGTCTGAGGAGGACGAATTGGATAGAAAACAGGAGATGGAAGCAAAAGGCAAAATAAAAGTAAACTGAAGGTAAAGCGAACCAAAAATAGGAAAAAGCTGAAATATTCTCACCAGAATAGCTGCTTGAGATCATTCGACTGGAAGGTACTGACCGGGATTCAGAAGCTCGTCGCTCGAAGCAAAAATGCGTGTTTCATCAAGGCTCGTCGCTGTCTGATTCAAGTGCAGCGATCGCTGAGCAAGCAGCTTGAAAAAGCTGAGCCATCCGCTTCTTTGCTGATCTGGGATCACGAACATAGTTGTCAAACCGATCAAGGCGATCCTCAAGCCATTCCTTGTGATCCCCGACGTTGGGATGTGAAGCAGGGTCTGCTGGTGGAGAGGCCTGAGGTGTATCAGAGTCCCTCCTAGAGACGCCGGAGGAGGACTGCGAAGCACTAAACCAAGGAACACTGCACGAACGAAAAAAAGAAACAAAACTTAAGAAAACCCAAGAAAACTCAAATAGAAGATAAACGAATATTATGAAGACTAACTTAGAAGGCTGCATTCGTGCCGATGCGGGTGTAACGTCCATGACTTCTGGAACATTGCATGGCTCTTCGAGAGACATCCGAGCGAGGGACATGGACTGGTCGGAAACTGCGTCAATAGATTCGGAGAGGATGGATGATCCGCGCTCCATCGGTTCATCAGACGCAGCAACTAAAATAAGAGGGCATTGATATGTAATGATAAAATTATGTGTATATGTTAGTAATAATTAACACTGGTTGGCGCCGAAACACGGCATAGGAAGGGTCGTTTCTGACCTGCTGTTTCCACTGGCTGAGGCCCAACAGGGCTAGGGCAAGGAGTAGGCGCGTTCACTGGCAGAGGCCCGACGGGGCTAGCATGGGGGCCAGAAGTCCCCTCGTCAGAATTAAGCATTAGACAAGTGCGGGCTTTTCACCAAGTTTCTGAAACAGCGGAGAAATTGTATAGTGTCGGTATATATGAATGCGACGAGGAAACGACCGACGGTTTACGTACAAGTGAGAACGAAAAGTGACAAAAGGTGAATGAGAATGCCAAAACACGCGAAAAAGTTTAAAGATAGTATAACAGAGCAAACACAAATGCACACAAGGAAGGTGGAATATGGTATGGATTGATGTTTTAACGTTTTTTAGGAGCACTGAGCTAAATGGAGGTGCGTCGTGAGCGAAAACGAGTATTATATGGGTGAGAAGGTGATTGCGCTATTGTAGATGGTTGTTCAGTTGGATTGTTATGAGAATAGCCAACAAGCTCATAATCTGTCGCTTGATGATGCGTTAGCGCTAATTGCTCGGATTCGGGTTGCCAAGGAGTTGTAAAAGCGGGTCCATTTAACTCAAAACATTTCTTGACTTGGTTCATGTGCACGCGTTTGGGTTTCGATTGTGGAGAAGTGATACTGAGGATCACCAGGTGCGGATGATCTATTTCCAGGACACGAAACTGGCCCAGCCAAGGAAGTGAGAGTTTGGAGGACAGTCCGGGCTTGGGGGCAAAATCACGCAAATAGACTCTATCTCCTACTTTGATAGACAGTGGTTGTAAATGCGACTTGTCATACTGGGCCTTAAATCTAGCGCGTTGGATATCATTGTATTTCGCCGCCATACGCCATGCTGCATGCAAAGTGGAGACGAAGTTCTCAAGATATAGACTAGAGTCTTGGTCAGAAGGAGTATGGCGTTCGGTATCATGCTTAATCAAGAGATCAATGTTGAATAGAGGATCACGACCAAAAACAAGGAAAAATGGAGTATTATTGGTACTTGAGTGGACAGAAGTGTTATACATAAAGGCACAAGCAAAGATAAATTGATCCCAATCAGTTTGGTTTTCACTGATATACGTGCGCAGCATAGGATGAAATGTGGCGAAAACTCGTTCGCATACGCCGTTACCCTCATGGTGGTATGGGGTGGCAAAATATCTACTTATGCGTAAAAGTCTGCCAATTTCTGATACCAGCTCGCCCTTAAAGTAGGAAGCATTGTCGGAGATGAGCTGAGTCATTACGCCGTACTTAAGTATACACTCGGTTAGAATAGCATGCGCTACTGTAACTGCCGTGCAGTCAGGCAAAGGCGCCACGATAACATACTTGGAAAAATGATCTATCAAGGCTAGCACATATTTGTTGCCTGATTCCGATGTTGTTAGCGGGCCCGTCAAATCCATATAAACTTTGTCGAAAATGGCCGATGGAACTACGGGCAACAATTGCTCTTGGTTGAGAGCCTGCGCTCGTTTTCTTTGACACAGATCACAAGACTTAGTAAGAGCATAAATCTGTTCGGACATGTGCGGCCAAAAATATTTACGGGAGATCTTAGCTAACGTTTTCTGCCAGTTGAAATGGCCGCCAGCGGTGGTGCTCGAGTGCATAGCCAGGAATATGGGTTCGCGTAACTTTTCGGGGACAAAAAGCTGCTCAATTGTGGTTTGTGGATTGTAGGGAGATTTAGCTACGTGATACAAACAGCCATTAGAACGTAAGCGGCAACTTTCAACTAGTTTCAGTAGAGCTGCTTTGTCAGCTTCAGCTACAGAATCAGGGAACTTATTGGTTTCTAAGAATATTATTATAGAATTACAGAGCGGATCAGCTTTTTGTTCGAGAAGCGCGTTATACGGTTTTATGGCAATAGGAGTGGTGGCACAAAGTGGAGCTAGACAAGCGGGAAGAGGCTGGAAAGTTTGTAATATGAGACAATTAGGAAATTCGATGATATCGTTAGACTCGGAAGTGTTATCTTGGAAGCGAAACGAAGGATTCACAAATCTAGAGAGGCAGTCGGCCACTACGTTGGAAGAGCCTTTCAGATATTCGATGGTAACATTATAACTTTGGAGCTCAACGACCCAACGGGTGAGATTATCGTGGGTCCTATTATGCTTAAGCAAAAAGGTTAAAGGGCGATGATCTGAGAATATCCTTGTGAGATGCCCATAAATGGTGGCCTTGAAGAACCGTAAGGCACTAATCATCGCAAAGAGCTCAATGTGCGTGGGACTCCACTTCTGTTGTGACTCTGATAGGGCTTTACTAAAGTACCCGACCGCGACTAAAGATTTGGCGTCATGCGGCGCTTGCTGAAACAAAGCGGCCCCTACCGCGATTTGACTCCCATCAGTATGCATAAGGAAATCCTTATCTTGCGGGAAGGCCAGGCAGGGTTTTGCCGTTAATTTATCACGCAAGTCTTGGAAGGCTGTCTGCTGTTTATCCGTCCACATGAACTTAACCTTATCTTTTGTGAGTTCATAAAGTGGGGCTGCAATAGACGCAAAATTTGGTATGAATTTGCGAAAGAAATTTGCCATCCCAAGGAAACGCTTGACTTCTTTGACCGATGTGGGGGGTGGCATATTTTTGATTGCCTGGATGTTACGATCAGATGGATAGTAACTATCCCCAGAGATCTCATGGCCCAAAAAGGTGACTCGCGACCGCGCTATGTCGACGAGCTTCTTACCGGATACTTTTATGTTGAAATCACGAAACCTTTGGAATACTTTCCGAAGAGAATTGAGATGACTCGGAAAGTCTTTGTCGAATACTACTATATCATCTAGGTAGGCCAAACAATTTTCTTCCAATCCGGCTAAAATTCGCGACATAGCCCGAGAGAAGTACGCACCAGCGTTCTTAAGTCCAAAAGGGAGATAGACAAACTGATAAATTCCCCTATGAGTTGCCCACCCGCACTTGGCTTGGCTTTCAGGTGACAGTAGTAACTGCATATAGCCTGACGCCAAGTCCAGGGATGTATAGTATTTGTTCCCTGCTATCTTAGTGAGTATGTCCTCTATCCGGGGCAAGGGATAATGGTCCGGAATAGTTATCGCGTTCAATGGGCGAAAATCTAAGCAGACTCTAAGAGACCCATCTCGTTTCTTGACCAGAACTGTATTATGAACCCAAGGTGTGTCACTCTCCTTAATTCTGCCGGCCCTAAGCAAGTTATTAATGTGGTCATCCAATTCTTTTTGAAATTTGACGGGAATGCGTGTCGGTCGAAATCGCGTGGGTGGGGTTTCCGTAATGGTTTTTATGTGGATCATGTCGGTATCATAGGAGCCTAAGTCATAAGAGCTATGAGAGATGCGATCTCGGAACGAGTGAAAGAATGCACGCAACTGTTCCCTCTCCTGCTCGGAGACTTCAGCCTTGCTAAGATCAACCCCGGGTTGATCATCAATTTCACTAGATGAGTGGCAATCAGCCGATTGGGAGGGTTTCAGAGCCAAAAGATGGGTGCTAAAAACTACTATTCTCAGATAAAACCCCGTTCTGATCAGATAGGGGAACCGCGGTGGATAACGTCTGATTTTTATAAAGGACTTGCGGAAGCGCAGTAGGATTGGAAACTAAAATATGGATCGTACTTGTGCTGAATACTGTCGGAGTAACGAGGAGTGATTGTTGGAGTAGTTTGTCCGATTGAGCCGTCAGCATAAGCGGCGCCATAGGCGGCGTCGACGTGTAGCAGGGCACGTAGGTTTCGGTTCCCGGTTGTAAGGGCGTAGTTTCTGAAACACGTACAGTAATTTCATTTTCGTCGTCAGAGTACTGAGGGAAAGCGCTAAGAATACGAATAGGTTCCCCATCAACTGAGAAAATCTTCTTATTGTAATCGATTGACCATGACGGAAGTTGGGCGAGAACATTATTACCTAATATAAGGTTAAATGAATCGGCTTGACGAGGGATACATGACCCTTTAGTAAAATGTACTACGGCGTTCATAGTAATTTTACCTACCTGCAATCGCAATTGAGCCATACCGGCTAGTGTTATGGGAACGCCGGCCATTCCCACTGCTACCTCGACGGCGCTTGGATCTAGCTCGAAAACACCCAGGAGCGCTGCTAAGTCCTTGCTTGCGACGGAAATTGCTGCCCCTGTATCAATCAGTCCCAAGAGGGCTATTCCGTTAGCCTTAATCGGGATTTGCGCTACAAAGAAAGCATGGTTATCATATAGAGACAACACGTGGACCGGTGCTATTGATAACCTAGGTGGCCAAGCTTGAGCAGCCGCAATATCTAATCGAGCTAGTTCAATTGGCCGCTCATCTATGGGTCGAAGTGGGGAAGCACTAGAAAAGGATTGGGTATTCAAGGGTATCCCAGGTAGCGCGATGGGTAAAGGTGCAGCGCGGTCTGACATTGTCGTTGAAAATAACCGTGACGCTAAGGTAGGGTAGGATATGGTCACATATAGGGCTACAAGCTTTTTGATAATTGCTAACGAAACAGCTGTGCAACAAAATGAAATCCAAATATGATAAATGGAAAAGCCAAATGTATGGAACAAGGTAGTAAGCGAAAGTGTATTACCTGTGACGTCGTCGGAATGGCGTGTTGGCGTAACATCGTGACCCACCGCAGCGAGGACCCTTTCCAAATTTCTGGTGGTCCATAATTCCCGTAACTGATAATCTTGTGTCACCTCAGTGAAATTTGTTAGCACTAAATTGTGGAATATAGTCAAAGGTGGGACGAAACTCATGGTTTGCGCCAACGAAGCTGGTAAAAGGTCATGAATAGTCGAATTGAGAAGGCTAGAGGAAACGTCAAGAATGGGGTCATATACGAATATTCGGTCTACAGAAAAGAGATGGAACGGCCGCACCCTAGAGCATGGTATGACATCTACGTCGGAGGTTACTACCCAATTATGCGGATCTATGAATGTCAGCCATGAAGCACCGCTAGGTAAAGTTAGACGAATTCTAGGCTTACTATAGCAGGTATCGTTAAACGGTACGAATTGATAATGAGCACGTGGTATGCGCATGCAATGATGCACCTGGACTAGTCCCCCACCAAGATGTGTAGCCGCAATATCATTCCGCTTAAGCAATGAACGTATTGTATACGTAGCATCAGACTTAAGAGAAGAATGTAATGCAAACGCCAACATGTTAGTACGATCACAGAGAGAGGCCAAGGCATGGCGGAAGAGGGACGTCATAGAATCTTGGATAGAATCTTCCGCCGCTAGCAGCTGGGCTGCCAGCTGATTTGAAGTAACGATACCTACGGAGGGAGATGAGGAGCGTGCTACCCGTTTGACTTTTGCAACTGCATACCCCTGATCCGTAATAATTAATGTACGCGCACAATCTTGAATGGTAGGGTTATTATCGCGCCAAGACAAGGCGAACTCTTTTGAGTCGCTGATCCAAATGTGACCTAAAAGATGCCCCCGCATTTTGGAAATTGGTAGGTAAGCACAAAGCTGTTCGCTTGCGGGCTCCCATAAAAGTACCGAACCCTCCTGAAGGGTGCAAAACCCATCCTTATACGCGCAGTGTTGCATATTACCTACCGCAGAGTCTGGCGAAAGTGCCCCATGACGCGCATGAACTGCTGTGTTCACCAGGTAACAATTTACTACGGAGAGATGATGATCTACACAACATCCAAATGGGGCTGACGGATACTCGAATGAGAGGATGTTATCGGTTTTGTAGGTTCCGTCTGCTTCTACCATCGACCCATATTCACATTTGTGATGTTGTTGCATTTGCCTACAGTGTTCGATTGAAACGGTCTTGTAGTTTTCGGAATGGGTTTGACGTCGCGCACCGAAAAAGTTGACGGAATAAACTACCGTATGCTCGACAATTTTACACAACACCGCTGGAGTATCATAGCGCTTAGAATTAGGACGGTAAACGTAAAGAGAGGTGCTAACCGGAACACTAGTTAAGTTAGGCACCAAATATGAGCAATTATAGGTCAAAGGAATGCGATTAACAGCATCTGATTTTTCACGTGGACACAACCAGACAGGTTGATGAGCATCATTGATGAAGAAACATGACAGAAGCACCGAGGCTAAGAACAGACAGTTAACGCGCGGAGGAGAAGAAGAACGCTGGAAAGAGTGATTCCCAAAAGCTGAGGAAGCTAATTCTTCGTTACGCTGAAGTAACGCGGAAATGCGGGCGTTCGACTTATCTAACGCTACTTGATTTTCCTTCAATGAAAGCGAGAGCGATTCAATTTGCTTACGCGCTTGATCTAACTCGTTAGACTGATCAAGGGAAAGGCCCAAAACTCTAGGAGTTCGAGAATAAGACGACGATTGAGGAGAAGGAGAACGATAACGTACTCGAATACCATCACGAGAACTGCTACGAGAGGACTGACCTACCTGCTGGCGCTGTCGTCTCCTTGTCGCACATTCGGAAGCCAAATGTCCTCGTCCACCACAGAAATAGCAGTAAATATCAGAGAATACCATGCGTGGGAGTCGTCGTGGTCTTGGTTCTTGAAAGCGTACTCGGTTTGAGCTGGGCCTAAAAGTTCGCCTATTAGCAAAGTTACTCTGATTAGAAGGCACAGTATCGGACGAAAGCAAGGAGGATTTTACCTGATTGTTTCTGGACTTACCTGTAGAAGCGCTAGGTTCCACTGAACTTACTGCCACTGGCGCCTGAGGGTGCGATGGATGGATGAGTCGATCTGCCGAGGCTTCGGAGAGAAGTTCCTCAACGCGTTCGGCCTCCGCCAAAGCCTCCTCGAAAGATGCTGGTTTCGCGAAGCGAACGTGAAACCTTAAGTCAGCGTGCAAACGTTGTATAAATTCTTGCAAAAATAAGTCACCATTAAGGGTTGGGTCCTGGCCGGTTGCGGTACGCAGTAAATTTAATAAACGAAAGGCAAAGGCTGAACTAGACTCACCTCTTTCCTGACGGCATGTGGTTAAGGCTTGCCTTGCTTCGGCTTTCTGCTTCGGGCCCTCATAGTGTGTCCTGAGATGATCAACTAAAGCTTCATAATTTACCTTGTCTTCTGCCGATAGGGTCTCGACTCTTTCCCTTGCCACAGATTCCAAATGGGCTACCAGATAATTGGCTTTGTCCTCAGAAGTTAGGATCTTGCGAAGCCGCATCGAATCCTCCAGACGGCGCAGCCAGAGCGAAAAGGGTTGCGAACTAGAGGTGCCGGTAAACGGCGTGACACGGGAGGGGAGCCCATCAGGGCAACAGGTAGCTACCAAAGGAATCTGCTCGATACGTGACCCAATTGCGGCAAATGAGCCATTAAGTCCATCAAGCAGGTTAGAGTTACCTTGATTAACCTGTTCGGCTAGCTGTGCCGTCGCTTTCTTCGCGTCCTTCCATACGTTGATGAGGGCCTCAGTTGTAGCTTCTTTGAGCTCCTTTGCGTCTCGTCCGTGGACCGTCGAAGCATCGTCCAGATTGACCAACACCTTCGCTAAGGGTGCCGTCACTGTCTCAGTACTCACTGGTGGAGTGGCATCAGCCACTGTGGATTGCTCCACAACCGCTTTGGAACGCGTTACCGGTACCGGTACCATAACTGAAAAAGAACGATTCACCCAGGTTCAATGGTAGAGGCATCACCATATTAGAGCTTCCTAATAACAAGATCAATGAGAGGATAGGCAATAGCATCACAATATCAAATGAAAGAAAGAGGAGGCTACGCAAATGGGCGATGAGTGACGAGTGAGGCACGCTGTCGGTCTCAGGAGTGGGCGTGGCTAGTACGGTACCCTTAAGTAGAATATTCAAAACCGTTTGGTATTTCCTCAGACTCTTATCTATGTTTGCCATCTCAAGGAATGAAAGAAATGAACACGGAAAATGCCATGAACTTTATATTTACTTCGTTTCTTTGCCATATCTGTTCTCGCGATCTCGGTGTAATGAGAAACAAGCAAAAAGTTCAAGCTTTTCCGCTTTGTGGCATTTTCTCAGCTTCGCTATCTATGCTTTCGATCTCGTCATGAGAAAGTACACGGCCGTGACCTTTTCCTTCGGAAACATCCTTGCTTACAGTCGTACTGTATCTGATCTACAAAAGAAATTGAACCCATGAGAAGAAACCCAAATTCAATGATAAATCTCTTATTTGAAAGTTCAGAGTTCTCATGGCGTAATTAGTAAAATAAGCTGGGAAATGAACGGGAAGCTTGAGTTTCAAAGGAAGGCCCGAATACATGGTACGCGTAACTTCAACTGACGAGGTCGAACGTAAAAGGAATGAAACGTTTGAATAGAGTTGCGCACAAAGGAGATTGCGAAGTTTGAGCATGAGAAATTTCAAAAGCGAAATTGCGCCACTGCGTTCGTTTTCAATTTCAAAAGCGTTTCCCGAGACAAAGGAAGCGCTCGGAACTGAGTCTTCAGCTCACAACTCAAAATTTCATGGTATCACTAGCTGTGTGCGAAACACGCATCAAAGAAAATGCACTTGGTAAACTGGTACACTTAGAGAGGAATAGGGACACCATAACACAGAGTAAAATCTAATATCAGAGGAATATAGAGGAAGCAACCGCACTCGGGAAGTTCTGGTATTCAGACTAATGGCATTATGAGCCTGCCATCTGGCCTGTCCGCTGCGTCAGAAACGATACTCCAAGTTAGGTCGCCAGATGTGCCCTACAAGGTAAAAGAAACTGCGATCGATCGCTAAACATCAACTACACTCAGACTTAGCTGAGAAATCGTCATTAGCCCTACGCTGGAGCAATCTGATAATCAGCATAAAACTGCTGAAAGTACCGTGCGGACAAACAACTACTATTACCACCCAGCTCAACTCACCTGCGCGCAACTACTAATTAGGGGGCGAACGCCTGAGCCAACAACACCATACAACTGTAAAACATAGGTCCGCACCTCAACTCAACTCAACCGGCCGGGAGAACATCTCATAACACTCACAAAATTCAATTCAAAACGCTGGGTTCAACATTTTCTTGGCGTTCTATTTTCCACTGGACGTCCACCATCAGGTGTGCACACTAACTGCCAGCATAAAACTGCTGGGAACCGCGGAAATCACGTCTGAGAAAAGAAAATCGTGACTTGATATTTTAATTTCGAAAAATACAACACACACATTTCCGAAACCTGGCGCCTAGGTTACGGAAGAGGTTGGAAGCCCTTGAAAAATTGTCAGAAACGGTCACGATAAACTTCTCTCAGACGACGAGCTGCCAAGTCACCGGTGGAGGCCCATCAGGGCTTTATTCATGATTTTACCACTCACCTGTTCTCCTCTCGGCGGAACCACTCGCTGCTACCAGTAAGCGTAGCGCCGCGGAAACGTGCTGACATACCGGTAGAAACACTGATCCGAACTTATATGATTTATCTGTTATAGCGATAACGATATACGAGTATCATTAATGAGCAAGATCAATGGTAAATGAGCAATATCGGGATATGAACAATAGGCACAATGAATAAGGAGATCATATAGTAGAGATCAGCATGAGCACTGGTGGTACGGCGGCGGCCCAAAGAGGTTACGAGGAGAGGTGATACAAACGTCCACTCGGCGACCGGGCATCGGAGCAACTCCTCGAGAGCATCGCTTGACCGTCGTCGTCACGCCCCTAAACATATGAGTCATCGTCCGACGAAGAAGCATGCGTAGACATGCTTACAATTGTCACTGTCACGTCACTCACCATGCTGGCTTCAATCCAAGTTGACGTCCATTCTGCGCGGGACCCCAACCTGAACAAAATATTCGCTTACTCTGGCACCTACCTAATTCTGCAGCTGAACAAAATATTCGCGTAGTCTGGCACCTATGTACCTTAATCATCGGGCCAAAATGGGGAGAGTCCGCGTCGCTACGGTTTCGCGTCGCGTCTACGACCTGCTTGTCTGTTCTCTCTCCAGCTCTTCCCAACAGTGCGCATATGCAGCGCAAACCCTTAGCGCGCAATGGCTTGGCCTAATCCCGATTGAGACAGACTATAGTACCACTGTGAAATAATTCCAGACACTGACAGGCGCCGATCATTATGATGAGACGCAGCGACCAAAAGATTTGGTGAGCTTGGTATGGATAGTGTGTCCACTGACATACGTAAGACCAAATGGCTAGTTGGTGGGGTGATATCATCATTGATCGGAGTGATTGACATCTATTATGGATGGTCTTGAGGGTTTCTGTTGTTGAAAACTACCAATAAGAGCTATATAAGGCATCCCTTCTATCGGTAATATTCTTTTTCTTCTCATCGTCGAGCCAATAGATCTATAAAGTGCGGTTCATAATTATACGAACACCCAAAATTTTGTAAGTTTTTGGACTTTTTGGGAGAAACTCAAAAAGCCGTTGGTAGCACGCGATAGAACACAGTCGAAAACGGTATGTGATCCATAAGAATGGAAATCGATGTTAACTGTAGGAATTTTTTTGCGGCTAATGCGAATTTTTAGCGGTTCATAATTATACGAACACCTCGAACAAAGGTCCATTTTTCATTCAATATTGCAATCATTTGAGTCCAATTTTTTTGTAGAGTTACAGTAACAAAGTCTGACATATCTGCTATATACTAAATCCAGTGCAGTTCAAAAAGAGGACCGTTACTTTCTTCAAAAGGAACTAAATGCTTTTGGAGTGATTGCGCTCCAAGAACATCCGATCTTCTGTGGTTTACGCGCTCTATTTAGCTTCTACCAAAGCTTTGAGATGAAGTAAGCCCTTGCGATAGGTAATTTGTTTGACGCTTGAGAAATCTTTGCGTTTTCGTGCCGTTTTTCAACCATGTTCCAACCTTACCACAGAGTTAGCACGATTTGGAGCCTCAAAACTCAGCTTCTGAAGCCGTAATATCTCCTCCATGACGAAGGCGGTCGCCCAAATAGGTTGACAGCATGCAAGGCTAACGCGCACGCGGCGTGCGGGCAATTGTCAACCACGGGTCGCGCGCACGCTCGCGTGAATGACCGCTGACCGAGCGTGCGCGCGCCCTGTGGTTGACAATTGCGCGCGCGCCGCAGCTTTGCATGTTTTCAACCTATTTGGGCGACCGCCTTCGTCTTGGAGCAGATTTTACAATGAAGTAAGCATACAGTATGTAGAAGTTTACAAGACTTTATATTTGGCTACAAAAAAATCAGCAGCGTTGAGCGTTTGTTTTGGCCACGCAGAAGTTATTTCACCAGAAAGACTGTTTTTACTATTGCAATCACACCTTTATTTGGTTTGTAGCTCCACAGCCGCAAGATCAGTTCTAGAGAAAACCCAGAAACTTTGATACAGAAATATCATCATGCAAGTAATGCAACTGCTTCATATCAAATTTTTGCGCAAGAGAGAAGCTGAGTTCTGAGGCTCGAAATCGTGCTAACTCTGTGCTAAGGTTGGAACTTGGTTGAAAAACGGCACGAAAACGCAAAGATTTTCCAAGCGTCAAACAAAATACCTATCGAAAGTGCTTATTTTATCTCATAGCTTTGGTAGAAGCACTAGAGCGCGTAAACCACAGATGGATGGATATTTCTGGAGCCCAATCACTCCAAAAGCATTTAGAGCCTTCTGAAATGATTAACGGTCTTCGTTTTGAACTGCACTGGGTTCAGTGTTTAGCAGATATGTCAGACTTTTTTACTGTAACTCTTCAAAAAATTTGGACTCAAACGATTGCAATCTTGAATGAAAAATGGACCTTTATTTGAGGTGTTCGTATAATTATGAACCGCTAAAAATTCGCATTAGGCGCAAAAACACTCCTACAATTGATATCGATTTCCATTTTTATGAATCATATACCGTTTTCGGCTGTGTTCTATCGCGTGGTACCACGGCTTTTTGAGTTTCTTCCAAAAAGTCCGAAAACTTACAAAATTTTGGGTGTTCGTATAATTATGAACCGCACTTTAGGCCCGTCATTGCATGCAAAGACTGGACGCCGTATCGTGTGAGCGAGATATCGTGCATCCCCCATTTTCCCATATAAATAATCGTGGCTGCCTTTTGATCGTTTTTACAAGTTGACACCACCAAATTCAAGGCGTCTATTCGAAGTTGACAGGTTAAAATGATCGAAAGAGTGTCAAGTTGATGGTTCATATAGGAACAATTCTGGGGATAAACCATAGTTGATTGAGAGAGACGACGACGGTAGGAGGGATGGGAGAGGGTTTGATTAAGGAGACGCCGACAGTGTCCGCAGTGGTACCAGTCTTTGCGTGCGATGACGCACCTATACTATTCTGCGTGTGCTGCTCCACCACGCCGCCGAGACGAGACTATAACAGCTAGACTGTACTTTGTGTACCATGTCCAGCACGAGAGCCCTCATCTGCATAGAGTACAAGCAAAAGTACAGTCTGCCCCAATCCTAACCAGGCCAAAATTGGCTCGGCGGGAGTGCGCGTCGCGAGGGTTTCGCGCCACTTCTGCGTCTAGCTAGTCTGCTCTTTCCTCAATCTCTTCGCTCTCTGCGACAGCGCGCGTATGGCACCCGCCATACTTACCCCTCTTGATCCGCTTGATCCGCTTAATCCGCTTGATCCGCTTGATCCGCTTGCTCCGCTTCTTGCAGGACGCGTGTAAAACGCGCGCACTCTGCAGTCTGTCATTTGGCGCCGCGTAGGTAAAAAGCAATCTCGGTGGTTAGGCAAATTCGCTGTACGTGACGCCAAATGACAAACTGCTGTGTGCGCGCGTTTTGCACGCGTCTTGCAAGAAGCGGAGCAAGCGGATCAAGCGGATCAAGCGGATTAAAGGCAGTGTCTCACTAGAATTTGGGTCTCGGGATTTTTGCAAATTACAAGTCTTCTCGACCTTGTGGAACCCTAAACGGGCTCTAATTTGCGCAAAAACTCCGGAAACCCCGTTTTTCGAAACCCCTTAGAAGCGACGCGGACGAGCTTTTCCACTTCACTCCAGTTCTGGTCACAGGAATGAACACGTCAAGAAGGATGGCGTCGCCTGGAAAGACGTGTTGAAACGCGATAGAGGAACGGAGAATTCGTCCAGCGCGAGCCGAAATGCGCTCCGCGAGCCACTTTAAGCCGAATTTACTCGATTTAGGAAAGGCCTTTTAAAGTGGGACTTGGGCATTGGCCTAGTAAGGGGATCCCCCAATAAAATTCGTGAAAATCTGGTATACTCTAAATCTGGTGAGACACTGCCTTTAAGCGGATCAAGCGGATCAAGAGGGGTAAGTATGGCGGGTGCCTATGCAGCGCAAACCCCTAGCGCTGCGAGCGCGCAAATTCAGCCTACGGTTCGGCCTGATCCCGATTGGGGCAGACTGTATGATCGGCTCCCCGATTCGTGTGGAGGTGTATTGCAGACCCTGATAACACATGTAAACTTGCTAAACCTCCACGTCATAGCATTGCTTTTCGTAATCTCTCGCAAGCAAAAACCGCCACGCGGTGAGTTGGCAAGACTCCACCTCCACACGAATCTGGGATACATATTTTTGGGAGTTTCCCTCTGTGATGAGGACATCAGCTCGTTTATTGGGAGAAAGATCTTCTTCACTAAAGTGGACGACCTTGTGACATGGTTTGTAAAACTATATCCATGGCTTTTGTCTCACTATTTACGATTTCTTTTTGAACAGTAATTCTACTTTCATAAAAAGGATGAGAGACTCCGTCAGCAGTAGAAATCTCTGAATATAGAACAACACTAATGGGAAAAAGAATTCGATAGTTTAATCTATGATAATAAGCTAGCAAAACTTTCTGCATTCACGTGTTTTTGTTCGTTCGAATACATGGATCGATTTAATGCGGACGTTAACGACAGAATACGAGCTCTGTACAGCTTTGATCGTACAGTGCTGCATGTGACAGCCTTTGAATCCTCTGCTCTGTTTGCTACTCGAGATTTCTAAGCAGAATTGCTAGTTTATTCAAAACTAAACTGCCCTGTTGGATGTTCTTGTTTAACAAGATCAGAAATCAGTATGCAAAAATCAGCGACGGATCTCCTGGCACTTCCTGTAGGTTACTGCTTCATTTGAAGACTTTCTCTTCTCTGTTATAAACGCTTCCGTTGTTTGCATACCTGTTTCAACGCAATCATGTGATATTTACCAACCAGTGGCGGTCACAGATTTTTTTTTGGGGGGGGGGGGATGGGTTCGACAACTTTTTTTTTGTTGGCGTGGTTAATGCCTTTCATCAGAAAAAAAAAACCACCTCGAAGTTCTGGATTTTACGGAGGTAATTTAAATTTTGGAAATTCTAAAAAATTTCGGTGATTCCAGAAAATTCCTCGACTTATGAGCCCCCCCCCCCCCCTGAGATTTCCCCTTGTCCGCCACTGGTATCAACCTTTGTTAGTTCCCATTAGGATTGCTATGACCATAAAATTAGTGTTGAGACCGCAGGATCACCCGTGTTAGCACCTACTTACCTTTTTTTCATAGACCGGTGCCAGATCCATCCGGTTCATCCTATTTGCTACTGGTCAGTTCAGCGATTTGACCAATAACGAATGGCTGAACCGGATGAATCAGTTGAAGAACGTTAACGAAGGCAAGTCTGACTGCACAAATGTTTCTCAAAATCCGACTTTTTCCGATTTCTTACCTATCAAAGTACGAACCATGTTTGATTGTGTTGATCAGTAAATAAAATGGCGGAAAGCTTAGGTGGACAGTAAATTTGTTTGAGTAATTATTCTTCGGACTTTTGTAAGAGATGTTTCATTCATTTGAGAATCCTCAGTCTTTTTTTTTTCTTTATTTGAAAGTTTTTGCATTCCGAGTCTTTTCTTACCCAAAAATTTTCGCATCTCGAGTCTTCTTTTCACCTAAAAATTCTTGCATCCCGAGTTTTTTTTTACCTAAAAATTTTTGCATCCCACCTTTTTGACGGAAAAATTTTGCAAGCGCCGCCACTTCGGGCTTTTTCCCTAAGCTCTAATAGTACTATTTCTAGAGCGGAAGTGCGACTCGAGATTTGTAGGCAGGTTAATTGGTTCGAATTTTTGGACTAGAACAAAAATAACCCTGATTAGGCGCGGGGACACTGGGCCCCCACATGGACCAGTTGTCTGCGGAAACGGCCCCGTGTCCCTCTATCCTATTATAATTTGTGCTATGCCAATCATGTTGGCAGTTTCTGTCTATAAAGAGGCCATGATTCAATTCATAATGAATTTTTTGAGGTGCTCGCAACATCTTATCAGAGTCTGAAGGAAGTGACGAGGAAGAACCTGATCTTCTCTACTCGGAACTCGAATATACTGACGAAGAGTTTGACGAAGAAACATATGAAGCTTTGTTGTACGTATTTGCATTCTTTTCTTCATAATTTCGAGAAGACAGAGGAAACGTACTACTCACCAAATTTCGGCAATTCTGAATTGAAAAGAAACGGACGGGGCGCTACTCATGCCTTCGAAAGTTTTTCTTGCAAAGCTATTAAATCTCTTGAATTTTTTAGAAATGTCAAATAATTCATTACCTTAAAATCTCACAGATAAGTCCTCCCACGAGATAGGTCCGTCTACAGCTAAGTCCGCCTTCAGATAAGTCCGCTTTTTTGACTCGTATAAGGTCCTTCAGGTAAGTCCGCCTACAGATAAGCCGCTGTCTTTCCATCAAAACTACCCTGAATTCTGTCAGATAAGTCCGGACTTACAGTTTATTAAAATCGTGACGATGGTTTTTGCTGCGGACATTGCACCAACAGGAGCATAAAACGCTCATACAAAAAGGCATCACCTCAATGTTCAGCTCAGTCACTTTCAGTGTCTAAATGTTATCATACGTAAGGAGAAAAAACCATTCGATTAGAGATAAAAACCAAAAAATGCAATTTCCGGAGGTGGCGTGCGTGTCGCGCGCGGTCGCGCCATCGTCACGATTTTTCAAATGCCCTATATTTGTAGGCGGACTTATCTGATGGGAAGACTTATCTGCAAGATTTTTGGCGGTGCGAGGGAGCATTTCATCGATTTTTCTTGTCAAAAAGCGAATTTATTTGTAAGAATTTAGGGTGATAAAAATGTTCAATGGGCAGCCGCTTATACGCGTCTCAATTCTTCGCGCACACTAGCACTTCGATTCATATACAGTCAATGTCAATTACGTACTCCATTTCGCATGGGAAATAGTTACGTATGCGCAGCGCAAGGGTGCTGCGTGCAGACCCACAATCGATGGGGCCCATTTGATAGCCTGAGTCATACGCGCGCGAACGTGGCGCGAAGCTCATGGCGTTCACGGAAAAGGAAGCAAGTGAGTGACACGAACCTACAATGGTTATGAAAACAAAAAGCTCGTTGAAAACAATCTCTCGTGAATGTGCTGAAAAAAGAAAAAACGATTGGAAAGTCATCTATTGATTTTGGAGAGAGGAACCTCGTTGTAGTTTCGGGGACCCGTTATATTTCGCCGAAAAGAAAAAACCCAAAAGCGCTTCAAAAAACCCCAAAAGCGCCTGAAAAAGCCGGAACGCCCCTGCAACTTTTGGTGGTATAAAAAATAAATAGTAAAGTTTGGCCCCACTGTTGAAGGTGAAAGTAATTGAGGCAAGGGTGAAGAGGCGCAACTTTCGGTCTAGTTCTGACATTATTTTGATGTGCAGATGACAGGAAATGAAGCAAAGTGACTCGGTGCGAAATCAACGCACATTTCTTGCCCCAAAACTTGCGCGCAAAAAGGGGCGTTCCGGCTCTTTCTGGCGCTCTGGGTTTTTTGGGCGAAGTATGACGGGTTCTTCACCGCTTTCGTTCCTGCACCGATCGCACGGCTGTTTTTTTTTTCTACTAATACCAATGGCATTTTAGAATGAAACCAAAGCGGTTAGAATGGATGCTTTCGGAACTGCGCGGTTTTGAGAATCCAGATATCAAGCTCGAACAGTATGGGACTTCACCAGAACTGGCCGGTAAGTCTTTATTCTTCACAGATAATTCACAAAATGGTCATAATTTAGTAGCAATTACCGATTGCATAGATCGGCTTGTAGGATTGGATGGGAAATTTGTTGCTGATCTCGGATGTGGCTACGGAATGCTGATGTCAGCAGTGGCTCTTGCTTATGAGCCAGCAGCTGTTATAGGTAGGTGGGTGAATAGGAACATTTTGGTAGCATTTAGCGTTCAGCTCAATAAGGCATTCAGCAGGTTCTGGCCTTAGTAAAGTCAGTCAGTTTTAGGTTTTGACATTGATAAGCACGCTATTTCGACATGCAAGGATAACTTGGAAGATTTGGAAATTGATGGCAGGTAAACTGCCTGTGCAATCTCTTCTATAAGTCAAGGAAAAACTGAAATAGATGTGACTTGGTAAGAGCGGACGTACTTGAATTACAAACGAGTTTTCGAAGTCACTTCGATGTCATTTTGATGAATCCACCATTTGGAACGAAAAATAATTCAGGTAATTTTGTTGTATTTTTCCACATACATTTGCCACAATCTTTCAGGTATTGATTTATGTTTCGTAAAAGCTGGCTTGAAGATGGTACGTATCAATGGTAGCGTGTTTTCTTTACACAAAACGTCTACGAGGGAGTACATCCTCAAAACGGCGAATAAATGGGACGATACAGAAGTAAGTTTGAACACATGCTGATTATTGATTCATCGTCCGCTCACTTAATCATTTGAGAGGCTGGCACGTATAGGCATAGAATGTAAGCGCTTGTCGCGTGGTGGTGTGGGAGGGAGGAAGGTGGGGGCCCCCACCCCTCCACCCCCTCAGGGGGATAAATTATCACTCGCCATTTCGCAAGTTCGAAAAGTCTTATAAGCTTCAAAACACCCTTTCGACTTTGCAAATAGCGAAAAAAAGAAAGCTGGAGAAAAAATGTTGCTTACTCACAATTACTCATAAGGTTCGAGATTCCAACTCCTACCCACATAAAGGGTGTGCCCAAAGGAAACACAAGAGGGTAACTGTTAACTAACAACTAGATAACCACGCATTTTAGTGAATTTACAAAGACTTTGAACTGCACTACTTGGAACCACATTCTGCCGCCAACACCCAAATAAGAACACATCAACGCACTGCAAGATAAAAATTCGCCAGAATCAACTTATTTCCAGGCAGAATGTGTGGCCCAGTTGCGGTGGGAGCTCCCTGCTACGTACAAGTTCCATAAAAAGAAAGCAGTGGATATCGACGTTGATTTGATACACTATAGAAGAGTATAAATATCTTTATCATACCTGTACACTTAGAGGAATGCTAGAAGCTTAACAATTATGCACAATCTTTATTCAGTCTTCTTCACCGGCAGGCAGGTTATCTCTCAGAATCTGGTCAAACTTGATCTTGATCTCAGTATTTGTGGGATTTTCAATGACGCTTGAGTACACCTGCAAGATATTGCAATTTTTCTCGAGAAAGCATATTTGATGCTGTGATTACCTTAAAATGTAAGGCTTCAAGTCCTCCTCGGATAGCTCCAGCAATAATTTGGGAGTAGTTCAATGAGGACAATGAGGCAGGAACTTCAACTAGCTCCGTCAGCGGGTTATTCTCAATAATAAGAGAAAATTCACGGTCACCACCGCCCCAGTTTGATACTGTTGCGGGTACGCCTGAAACATAAAAATATCAGTGCGAGAGCTCTGTGCCGAAATTAACACTGACATAAAGGCAATCAAAAAATGGGGCAGTGATCAATCACAGGTTGGAAATCAAAGCTATAAATAAACACAAGCAAGAAACTATTTACCTAAATAGGTGGGGATGGCATTCTTTGATAGTACGTCTGCTATTTGCCGACAGTCCGTGCACTTTGCCACGTGCACATTCTTTGCCAGAATCATCGGCTAATCGTGTTCCCATATTGAAACCAATCTGGAAATATGCGGTATAGCTCATAGCTCATTCTACCTGCTGAAGTGCGCACGGCGATTCAGACCATGAAGACATCCACGGCTCCAGGACCAAACCATCTTTCCGTCGAATTTCTGCGAGCCGGAGGACAACGTCTACACGAGATTCTCGCGTCGCACCTGACATCTTACCTTCAG